TCAGCAGATGATTACACCATGTGCTAAAAATATGCGATCGAAGACCATTTCAAGGGTCAGATCCTCTGTTAAAGTAATGTGGGTAGAGCCTGAATTTTCTGCAAGGTCCCTGTTTTGGGAGGGCAGCATTTACCATGCAAGCAGTGGTGCTGGGTCCGACCCCAGGTCTTCCCCCAACCTGCCTCTGGTGCTGGCTCTCTGTGGGGCACAGCAGCAGTTTATTTGAACGTATAAATCCGTAGTTGGAGGGGAATGGCTGGCTCCAGGGAGATCAGACACTCCTCTCCAAATGCTGACCTTTTTTCCCAACTCTCTTCATAGTTTTGTTAATAAATCTGAGTCATCCATATTTCAACCTTCTGCATTAACCTTGGCTGTTTGTCCTGTCTCTTAACATCCCAGCATCTTGTTTCACAGAGATAAAATGTGTGGGTGTGTGGCTTTATAAGACAAATGGTTAGGCTTTTTAAAAATTCTCTACCTTGCTGGTTAATTTTTCTCATTAGGGTGTTTCTCCGCCATCCTCATTCCTCGTAGGTGCCCCTCTTCTTGTATTGTTGACTTGACAGTCCCAATTTTGGGGCAATATTTGCCTGGTCCTTGCCATTATCGGTCGGGCAAGACACGTCTCCTGCCCTGAGCTTTGCTCCCAACCCGAGTTTCAGAAATCAGCAAAACCCAAGCAGCCACTGGCGCGAGCGATGCCCGACACAAGCACTGCGTAGGAAAGTCTGAGCTACCGGCACTGTGTGATTTTTATCAGCTGAAATCGCATCTTGTAAATATTTACTGGAATTTCAAGTAGGGTTTATCTAATTAAAGCCAAGTAAAATTTTCCATGAAAAAGAACCGCCCAACTGGCGGTTGCCGGTGGATGTTTAGGGACACGTTTAAGAGCTGGGGGGACAATATAGGATATTTTCTCAGCTCTGCTGCTGTCTGTGGCTTGGGGCATCCTGAGCCACATAAGGTCTTCAAGCACAGAGTCACCCGTGCTGGGGACCACATACCTGGTGGGCCTGAGCACATCCAGCTGTTCCTGGCAGCAGCCTCCCAGATTTGCCAGACTGAGATGGGGGCTGGCCTGGCTGCCACAGCATGGGGAGATCGGTGGGGATTTGCTGGGATTTGCAGCAGTGGTGGGGGTCCAGGACCCTTCTCCCTACGGGAACAGCAGCACATCCCCCTGCCGCTGCCGGCTTGGGCACAAGGCAAGCAAATGCATCTTTTTAATTCGCGTGGTCGTCAAGGTTGCCAGCACCGTAAATGTCAAATCTGAGCAGAAATATTTGGCACATAAACCGTCTCCG